CGTTACGAAGTGGCGTAGGCCATGGCAAACGTCACGGACACCTCCTTCTCTCGCGTCCAGCCAAATGACGCTGCCCGGACTCGGTACGTATCTCGGGCTCTTTGACATTTGACACAATCCTAACGGTAAGCGAGCCCACGACGTTGCTCCGAGCGTATGGCAGTGTATAATAAAATACGTGTCAGTCATTAACATTTCCGTAATCGTATCCCCAATAACAGTTCGCGGATCGAATACCGCGAATATTACTTGTCATGCATAGATCAGCTGATTGTCAGATTTTAGCATGTCTATATACGTACAATCTCGAAGACTTGATTGACGGCAAAGTAATTAAGACAAGATTTAAACGATGCAAAATAGCACGTTCGATACGAATGTCCGTAGATACGTATCGATGCCAAAAGGCGTAATCTGATAACTGATAGAGAAATTGACCAATATTTTTGATAAATTTAAAACGAAAATATCATTCGTCTGAATCTAACACAGCGAATATACCGCGAGCACCATCTGGTGGTAAAACATGGAACTTTACTCTCTTACTATTTCCAAGCTTCGACCTTACTGTCCCCTTCTCGTTCTTACAGCAGTTTCCCATTGAATTTACGTAATCGGTAATTAATCGTTAACGATGAATTTTTTGGGAAATTAATTTCTTCAACATTTTTCATAATTCGTATATCAACTTATTAACACCTACCTCTTTTTACCTAACGTGGATCCAATGTCAGTCGCATTTAAGATTTCATGCGAGAGAAACGACGATGATGGTGGACAGAGAGAGAGAGAGAGAGAGTGGAAGAGAGACAGAAAAGAGTCTAGCGGATAAATCACGAAAAACACGCTACAGCTGCGTACGTCAGAGTTCGCGTGCACCTGCTCCGTGTCCCGCAGTGTCGACCTTAAAGCACCCTGCGCGATACGGTAAGTCGGGAGAGACGAAAAACACGGATAAAAGAAAGATGGCAAGAATGAAAAGAAAAGAAAAAAAAAAAAAAAAAAAAAAAAAAAAAAAAAAAAAAAAAAAAAAAAAAAAAAAAAAAAAAAAAAAAAAAAAAAGAAATCAAAGCTTTGAAAGAGTGCCTCGGCACGCAGATACGGCTAAAGAGGAGTGTAAAGCTTTTTACAGCTCTCGTCAGTTATTTTCAGCGGTTTATCGTTTGCCGGGTGTTTACGCTGCACTTGCTCCGTGAGCTCGCAATGCAGTTTCCGTGGGGATTTATCGTCGTCGTTACGGAACGCCACATAATATGCTGATCGTAAACGGGAAGTGCGCGGGTAACGTGAATTTTCGGCGTGCAGTTGGTACGCTCGGAGTGTAATGGCAAACGAGACTTTCGAAATGCGCGCCAATCGATTACGGAATTAGAGCTCGAAATGCTCGTTAATAAACGGTCTCGTATGGTCCCCATTAATAAGTCAACGAAATACGAGCAATTACGAGTAACAGCCCCGAGAGCGACTATAAAACTCACGTTTAAAATTTATTATCGTAATACAGATAACACGGTTAACAGGTACGAACCACAGAAGATGATACCGACCGTCGTAATGATTGTATAAGAATGACGTTCTAAATTCCGTAATCTAGTTTGCGTTATCCCTGACACGCATTTCTATTGGGTCTGAAGTCATTGTTGACCCTTCTTTTTTTTTTGACACAAAATTTTTCTACCCATATTCTCCACGAACACACGTACCCTCGACATTGAATTCTCAGCTTCCCTTATACGCGTAAGTGATTTATGAATCTCTACCACGAGTCTCCCCCTTTTTCACGCTGCTATCGAGTTTTACTTCGACAAAGAGTCTGCCTGCTTTACCAGCGACGAGGGAGAGTCGAGCGAAGAGCCGCGAATTCCAAGGTAAAGACGGAAGTGGCGCTAGTTACCGGTGAAAGATAATCATTTCAGAAGATAATTTATCTTAGCTCCCGCGTCTCCCCAGGTGGCATTCAATTTCTTGCAGGAACGCTGCAAGGACGTGTGTCATTGTGGCTCTTTGTTTATATACGTATACGTAATAACGTGTCTGTGGTTATACCTGTTCCTGAGGCCTGTCTGCCATGTACCACGATTACCATTAACACCGCGATCTTATCATACACTTTCATAAGAATCGTTTAGTAGCACGGGTTATCAAGGAATGCAATTACGTGTTCGTTTGGAAGTAGTATGAAAAAAAAAAAAAGAAATTTAAAAACAAAATCTATAAATCTAAATGTGCTTGGAAACACAGGGAGAATCAGGGTACCCGGAAGTAACACACTTGAAAAATATTTGGCATGGGAATTCGCGCGTGTGTCGATGGTTCGATCGAAGTGCATGATGATCGTTTGATGCCGTAAGAAATTAGACACATCGGGATAACGATAGTGGGAGTAATTACGTAAGCCATTATTATGTTGTGTTACGTTCCGTTTAGACGACCTCGTCGCGCCCGAACTGACGTCACTGTATTCGTTTGGCGCCAAATATGTTGAATAAATATTCGCACCGAAGACGAACCTCGCGTATTTCCGGTTGCGTTGAAAAAAAAATGTAACCCTGTGGAGTGTGGTGATTTGAAAGAAAAATAATAAAAAAGCACCCGGACCTTAGCATTCTATTACATATGGCGACATGTCTTTCCATTAGCATCGCCGGCTACGATATGAAAAATTGAAAAGCGCACGAGCGTGACGCGCTCTGTGGAAGTTGGCGGATGCACTGGAATCGCGCGGCCAATTGCCATAAGAGTGACAGTCTGCAAGGTGAAGCTAATTCGCAGTTTATTATGTAAAATAGCATTGACAATACACCGGGCTGGTAACGTTCGCCGCTCGGTCACTCAAAGAAGGACGTAATGAATAATGTATGCATATGTTGAGTACGACTACGACATAATAACGTACATGACAATTTCGCATGTGCTCAGGGATGCAACACTTTGCGAATACAATAGAGCGGCTGGATAATGACGACGTCATCATCTTCAATGTTGGATTCTGCATGGACCGGGGATAAAGGTGTGTTACCACCCACCTCCCCTTAATCTATTTATATTATTCGTATCTCTGAGTTTTTCTATTACGAAGGGGACATAATATTTTCGATCAGGAGAGACATGACAGAGTACGGAATTAGAAGGAAGGATTTTCGTCATTTATGGTAAGAAAGATAAAACGTGGAGATTGAAAGAAGTTCGTCCAGATTGGAATTTCTTATGAAAGTTATTAAAGTGGAATTTCGATGAAAGGAATACGCCCAGTGTAAAGTCTCGCATTTCTTTCACAAAATTTTATTGTACTTTTTGTCTTGGATTAAAACTTATAGGCCTTACGGATAACAGGGATGGCTGTGGTGATTATTATGAAATATACATGACAATTACGAAATGGATATAAATTTTGAGCTAATGGACTCACCGGAGCCTAGACGAGAACGATGTTGAACTTCGCACTGATAAATGGAACGACCTGTAAAGATAAATGATTATATTGAGATTGTTATTGTACACGGTATTCGAGTGAGAATATTCTCTAGGTTGTTTATATTTAAAAAAAAAAAGGTCTTGTTATTCTCTACCGATGATGGTTCGTTTCGTAATGTCCGTATTACTACGCATGTTCGAAATGTACTGTGTTTATGTCAGCGAGGATGGAAATTTTATTTGTAAAATATATTTCTATGTTGCGCGAGAAAAAAACTATAGACCATAGATATGTAACGTACTGAAACGTGTACCGACCTGTGATTTGTATATTATGTATAACGTGATAAAAATTATTAAGACATTCTATTCTGTGATATCATGTTACATTTGGAAATATTGAACACCTAACGCTTAGCTTCTATGCTCTCGTGACGATTTGTTCAAATATATTTTCGCTTGGTAAGCACGAAACTTTTAAAAGATTATTAACAGCGAGAGCGAATAATATTAAATTAAACTGCATACTCATAAGTTATACATATTTATGGAACTTTACGCTTATACATTGTGTACACTAAAATTCAAGGTCGTTCTACCCCCTGCCATGTTTATATCAAAACATCCTTGCCATAGTCAAATTGCTGTGAAACGAGTTTCGCCACTATTCAAAAGTCACGAATACTCATATTACAAAGAATTAAAGAATAATCCCTCTGCTACGTTGAGAAATTTTTCAAAAGTCTAGAATAGATTCGCAACGAAAAATAAGTATGCTGACAAAAAAGCTAGGTTAGTTTACGTCGGTGCTTTCAAAAAGTTAATTTATGCTTGGCCCTTTCACTCTATATTACGGAGTTCTTTATTGTTACTCAAGCAATAACCGTTGGCTCAAGGATTTGCCCCTCTTTTTTATACGCCAAAGTCAAGGCCGTTCAACCCTCGATCGTCGTAGGGCAACAAAAGAAGATGACAACCTTGGAGCAATTATGAAATGGAAAAAAATACTTACCGGATACGTAGGAATTATTAGTTCCAGCTTTCCGTGATAACGTTAAGTTCTGCTTGGCACACGAGTCCGCCTGCCACCAATTACTATAAACATTTCAATAAGCTTTCGGAAAATATACGAGCCCGGTCGTCGCCGCACGCACAACGTTCCCCGGAATGCCACTATGGATTCCACACAGTGCTGCCAACAGAGAGTGCGAAAAAGGTTAAGCGAAAAATCGTCCGTGCGATGACTTGAAGATTTTTAATAGGAATTACGAACTGCTCTTGTGAATTTGGTTATTCAGATTTTTTTCATTTACTAATCAATATTGCTAGTTACGCTGTGTTTTCATCTATTGCTCGTATGTTGCTGTATTTGTTATATTGGCTATACTGTTTAAAAGACATTCGTATTTTACGTTTACCGCCTTTCAGCAAAACAACCGTTTGACAGATGTCGCCACTAACCACGAAGAAAGTGACCCCTATTATAATTTGTTAGAAACGAAGAAGTAAACTGAAACTGTTTTATCGGATGTTATTTATTCAAAAAGAACTTTGGATACGAAATTATACAGATGATCTTGTTTGTCTTTACTAATTATTCAAAAATATTCGTCTTTATTTAGAATATCGAAGGCACTCATCGGATACAAAAATAAATATTAAGAATTTATTAAGTAGTTTACTTTGCTGAGATCTTAACTAGGGTACGACTTTAATGATAGATTCAAGTTTCTTCATACTGCTCGAGAAATTGTTTCAGTAAGGCATCTTCAAGTGGAATGATGAGATACTCAGCCCCATCGACGTTACGTTTATTTCGGACTAGCTTGTGATCAACAAATTCTGTTAATTGAGCCCTCAGTGCTAAATCTGAACTTACCAGAAAAGCTTCACGCGCTCCCCAATATAGATCCTTAAATGCCATTCCTAAAAAAACACATTATATTCTCATAAAACCATTAATCATTAATTAAATATCGACTCTAAGTTTATTCAAATACCTGGATAGTTCTTGCTATTATTTTCCAACTGATGCTTAACCAATAATATGTAAATTGATTTAGCATTTGACGTAAGAGACAGAAAAACGTTGCGCAATGATGATAATGCGAGGGAACCACTTTGTTTAACCATTAATGAATTTTCGTATGATGTTTCTGCCACATATGGTAAAAGTGTTGTTGAATCCCACCAGTAGAAATTATAACGTGACCTTTTTACATTATCCCAAACTGAATAAATAAATCAATGTCAAAAATGCGGTAATGTTGGAAGTCGAATACATATAATTTTTAAATAAATTGTTCTTACGTAAAGGTGCATTTATATGGTCGACAGAAGCCATTAAGCAGAGATTGGGAATAGCTGCTAAACGAGAAAGAATATCCTGTGTTTTATCAGAACGAAGCATCTGTCCGTCTATATTATGTATTAATAAATAGAGACGATCATCGGGATTTTCTTTCAAGATATTTTCTATGAGGTTAATACACTCGTTTGTATTTGTTGGGCTAGTTAGTTCCAACAGGTCCACTATTATGCCATCGAGTATCTATATTTTAATGTTAAAACTTCTGTAATAAATTAAGTAAAATGAAAAACTAGGACGAACATACCTCCTTTATAGTTAAACTGGGAAAAAACCCATTTACGACCAAGGTGGGATGATCATAAATAATTTCTTTATAAAAATCATTAATCAAATTTCTTTTAGACCCAATGCCATGTAAAAGTATACTATATCCTTCTCTGAAAAAAAAAAATAGATTTTTATAGTATTTTAAGTCATATATAATGTACTTAAGATTAATTATTAAACTTACTCCATAATGAAGTACCACATAGGAAAAAAAGATCTGTAGATCTTGGAAAGTGATTTAATACCATTTTTATGTTCCTGTGATACATGGTTCTGATTTACCAGCAATTCTTGAATTTTTTCCTCATTTAAACGGGGAGTTTTCAGTCTTCCCAATGTATGATCAGACGTTAAAACTTTTGCAGATTGATTCTCAAAGTATTGGTCAGTTTTCAAATGCTGTAAAAAAAATAGCATAATTATATATAAAAGTGAGTGATTCTTGTTTTGTTGATTTCTATAAATCAGGTGGAGGAATAATACTTGTACTAACAAATTCAGAACAAATTGCATTAGATATAGATTTGCCTTTGCTTGATGAAGTGGTAAATGTTATTTGCAGCCTGCGAGAGGGAGATTTATCCCTCGTTGGTTGTTTTGCTTCACCATCACTCTCCTCGTCAGAGTGAATCTCATTTTCACTTTGTTCATCAGTATTATGATCATCAGTTTCATCATCAGAAGGTACAAATTCACTGTCTTCAGAGACACTTTCACTTTCACTTGATGTTAAACCAGATGCTATGTTTTTACGATTAATAGAAGCCAATTCTACATAAGTAAACATATTATTTAGCATTATTAGGTAAGAAATATTATGAAAATAATTACTTCTGAGGAGAATAGGGTCATACGTTTCTTAATTTTTGTGCGTATATGATGTGGAGTCTTTGTAGCTTCAATTATAATCTGTAATTTAGGCTTAAACTTGGGAGTACTTGGTGTTATATTATTTCGGCAAGAAATAGCTTTTTGTACCATAGCATCTTTTTTTGAAGGTGTCTGAAATTGGTACATCCGTGTACCACTGACATCCTCATCTGTGAATAGTTCTGGAACACACGGTATACCATAACATTATTATATTTCTTATATATATTATATACTTCTTAAGTTAAAAATCAAATATCATACCAGACGGTTTTTGCACATTTTCCTCAACATTTTCAAGTTCCTTCTCAAGCTCAGTCTCTAACACATCAGTACTTGCAGTTGAAGTGGCGGAACTACTATGCCTTCGTATTCGTATTTCAGATTTGTCTATATGTAAAACAAGTCATACTATTATTTAACATAATTATATGGCTATCACCTTCATTATACCTGCATAATTAACAGGAGCTTTTATTCTCGAGGAACGTCGCAACGTTTCACTACTGTCAGACATCGTATTTTGGTGGGAAATTTCGTACTTAATTGATTCTTTCCTTCCTTTCCTTATGCCGACCTCCTCCAATGAGATGTGCCAGTACTTAATTAGTTACATTCAAAATCAAATGTTTTTGCACAAGTACCTTGATATAAAAAAAAATTGATAGAAGAGATTTCAACGACTAAGAGTCTACAGTAGCGCCACACCTTGGTGTCGCTGTGAACCCCACGTCGGTTTTAATGGAGTATTTTACATATAGTACCATCTGTCGCATAGAATATTTACTACAATGATTCTACTTTACTCCAAACAAAATCAGTGACCCTATGAATCTTCAAATTGCGTAATTGGTTAGCAGTTTCCCTAGATTCAATCTAGATGGCAATGTAATCGGATCTCTTTTAGCACATTTTCTTGTATTCCTTGTAAAACATTTTTCATCTACTTCAATCTACTTTACGTATGCTGAAACGAGCTGACCATTCTGAAAGCATCATCTGATTACGATCAATACCATTTACGTAAACAGAAACACAACGTTATTTGATACAAAAATTTCAGAGCATATGTTAAAACAGTAAATAAATATTTGTAACATTTTCTGTTCAACCATAAAACCGATACTACAAAATTACATAAATCATGTAATGCGTCAATATAAAATAAAACCAAGATGTAATAGATATAAAATTAGGATAAAATATTTAACCAAGCGACTGAATAGACGTCAACAAGAATGCCAGCGAAAAGTAAAAAGAAGAAAGACAAAAGGAGAAAGAAAAAAGAAAAAGTAATCGATGCAGAGAAGCAGGAGATACGAGATAAGAAGTTAAGGGAAGCTAAGAAGCGAAGGGATGAAATTATAAATAAAATAAAATTCAGTTTGAATACAAAGTTTAAAGAGAGAATGAAGGTGAAGGAAGCAGATTTAAAAAAAGAAACGAAATTGCGGGAGAAGGAAATACGAGATCAAAAGAAAAGTCCGAACGAGAGGAAAATGAGTGAGGTATGTATATTAACACTGAGTGAAAATTAATCGAACATCTTACATTTAACTAGGTATCGCCGCGCTGTAAAAGGTAATTCAAAATTACCTCACCCACTTTTGCATGTCTCGGACTATCTCGTTAGTGCTAATAATACTCTAATTATAATCTACATAAAATAATACTATTACAATAATTTTCTTCACTACCTTCAAAAGTCGTTTAATTCCCTGACAGTCTTGCACGTCCAAGTAATTAACCAGCTATCAATTATTACTATTGAATATTTGAAACGTATCGATATTCACTTATCTCATGCTACCTTATATAAGTATAGAATCGGAAATATGAAAACTGGTCGATAATTTTGGGAAATTAATGAAGCATACGTGATAGATGCGGCCAAAGGTGTGAATGAGGATGAGCGAGAGAAAATTATAAAAAGAGGAGTGCGCGTGCGAGAATTCGAGTACGAATAGGAGTTTAGAACAAGAAGGCGAAAATTGGAAATTGCATAATGTAATTCGAAGTAATAAATAAATTGCGCTTTTCCCAATAAATCGTCATTGACTCCATGCAATATCCATCGTGCAAGATTCAAGTAGGATTAACCATTCATGTCCAACGTTTGAGAAGATTACTCGAATATTCTTCTGTAATGTTATACGTGTACATGATTAGTTGATCCTACTTAAATCTCCCATGATGTAAACACAATCATAGCCATTCGGTATTTTTCCTTAACCTACATAAGCGACACAAATTGCCATAGACAATAAATAGATAACCGTTTGAAATTTCAGATTCGTCGCGACATGAAAACCATCATTGAGGCCGGAGTGGAGAAAGTGAACGCGAGTACAGTGCTTTTGAATAAAATAAAATTCGACGGAAAGTCCACGTTAACTGTACAGGACACAAAGTACAAATTACAGTATAACGTTCACATGATCGGCTGGGGCAAAGAAGCCATCATGCTTGGCGGAGCTTTTGAAAAGTTAATAGGGAAGCATTTGAAAAAAGGATGGCTGATTGTTCCACGAAAAACAATTTTTAACATGTGGAATTATCCATCGTGGCTTCCTAAACTTGATACGCGAATTACTTACGCGGAAGTTGGTACTGATGGGAAGCCTGATGAAAAATCAGTAGAAATTGGACGCAAGATCGTTGAGTATTGCAGAGGTTTAATGAAGAATGATATACTGTTTGTGATCCTGTCAGGAGGTACCGACGATCTATTATGCTGTCCACCAAAAACAATCAGCGTTAAGGATAAGCTTGATGTCCTTGCTACGTTGAAAGCATCGAACGCTACCTGTAAGGATATTAACGTCGTCAGAAATAAGCTGTCAATCCTCAGAGGTGAAGCACTGAATATTTTCATTTCGTACTTGTATCTATAATGCTTTCACACGCAATATCTGTAAGTATAAAATTGTAAAAGGAATTAACCTTTACGCTATAGAAATATTAATACTCGTAGTAACAGTTACGTCGAGCATTTTACGAGACAGTTAAAACGGCTCGGAAAACATTTCAGTCGGACTAACGTTAAATTACGTTTAGAAAATAACCTTGACAAGATATACGTACGAGTAATAAGTTAGGACCGAGATATAAAATTTGGCAGTATAAATTATATTGGTTGAATAAATGAATTGTTTACCTTAGGAGGATATCTTGCAAGATTTGCTTATCCGGCTAAAGTGATAACACTGATAATGTCAGACACGCCTGGAGATACAATAACGGAATTCGCTGGAGGACCAACAACGAATGACACGAGACATTACTTGGCCCCTTCGATTTTGCGAAGATACAAAATTTATGATAAATTATCAAACAACGTGAAGGAAGTTCTGGAAAAGAAAGCACCAGATATCATGGATCCTCTTCTATACGAAAATAAGGAATTCAACTTTGTGGACATTTACGAGATAGCGAATATCCCAGAAGCTATTGAAGGAATGTCTGAGGCTGCATTCAAATTGGGACTCGTTTCTATAAAATTGAATCCCAGCGTATCTGGGTCCGTGCGAGAAATCAGTCGAGAATATGCCAAGATGGCTTCTTTACTTATACTTGCCGTAGAAGGGAAGATCACGAAGCTGGAGATGTACGAATCCATGAAAGAGAGCAACGTGATGTACCTTACCGAGAAGAAGGTACACGAAATTTTTCCTTCCAAGGAAAAATGGGGATTGGGTCTCTGTCTTCTTATGGGTGGACGTCCCGACGTCGAGGATTATGAGAATGGAGACGGTGGACCGAATCAGGAACTAGCACTTTATTTCTCTTTCGATTGGTACCTAAGAACGAAGCAATATCCAATTTTGAATGAGTACGTCGTATGGATTCTAGCTGGCAGCACTAGCGGCAGAGACGGGAACTCTCAGGTAGCTGGAGCTTATGGATACAGTAGCCTCGGCCCTGGTGTATATAAACGTTTTAAGGAAGTATCTAGAGCATACGAGGAAGCCAAGGTAAAATCGAAAAATCTAGAGAAACTGCAACCCGATAGCGTCGAGACTAAGGTTGGTTCTGATATTTTATATTGCATTAGAGATACCTGATATAAAACATTCTTCTATTATAAAAGTGACACATTGCTAACCTATAAATAGGAGGCAGTCAAAATATGTACGGATTTGAAGATAGAAATGGACAAACTGTCAGTGATCATGCCAGATCGTGTCTTGATGAAGCACAACGTGAATTCTATGTATCTAAATATCAATGACGGCGACGAATTATTAGAATTGGGTACCGGAACCGGATATACATATACGAACGTAGGTGATCTTCATATTATACGAATTGTACGTTTCCAATGCAACTGTGATGGATCTTGCGTCGAACAAGGAGGTTTACAGAACCAAACAGACATTTGTACGGATAATGAATGTTCCGTCAATCCCAGAAGACCCGTGGATCAACCAAAGCCGCACTGTTGCATGCGAATTACTAAGCCCAAAATCAAGATCCGTTAAAACCCAAGATATTAAATCACGACGCATTAACCAGCTCCGCCAAACGTACTATGGTACACGTTACTAACTATAAGCGTCAAATTTTTTTATTGTAAATTGAAGATCATCGCCAGTTGCACAGTCTGGCATCTAGTTTACGGTCTTACATTTTCCCTAGAAATTTTACAGTCAGAGTAAGATTTATGCGAGGTGGCAAGGGATTCTCCTATAGTCTGAACGTGTCCTGGGATCCTGAAAAAGAGGATAACTCGCGAGTTATCGTACAAAAATAAACCATTCCACAGTAAGAAACAGCAACGCAATTTCTTTGTGAAATTTTTTTTAATACTCCGTCATACAAACATACACAATAACGATACGCGTAAGATTTTATTTTCCAAAATTTGTCCACGGTCCAACAGTAACGTTACGATGGGTATCCTTTTGGTTTACCACAATGACTATGGAGAATGAAAAATAATTGTTCGGGCCATTGTGCATTCAGCGGTGGTGCGATTATTAACGAGAATCCGTCATAGTTCGGTGCACCGAGTTACTCGTGATTTGTTATTGTATATGAAACCACAGAGGCTGATGAATGGGATGGAATTGCTCCGGCACGTTTCCCGATACGACCGATAAAAAGGATATTAGTCGTCCTGCTTGCCGATCGGTCTCTTATAATACGAAAGAAAAAAGACGCATATAACTAAATAACCAAGGAAAAGGAGATAAAGTGAACTTATAAAAATTTATGTTACAGACATACATTATTATGAATATCAAGACCTGGTATTTCACTAGATATACTGTATTAGCCTCCATTGATGTATATCAGACTGATTTTCATCCATTTGAAATACTCTATGACGCAATTCACAGGAGTGACTGATTTTTATACGTATTGAACTATAAACGCTGCTTTACCTTGCGTATTCCGTCGTTTGCATGATAACGTTTACGTTACAGCGAATGGCGCGGCGTCGCGACGCTCGGAGGGGTTGACTTGAATACTTAATTTTAAGTGGATCTATCGACACTCCAACCAACCCTAAGTCTCTTGGTATTTAATCAAAGATTGGTTTGGTAAGTAAGGTGCGCTTGTGGCAACATATTCGCTGTTCCGGAATTCTCTTATCAGTAACTCTCCTTTGCATTCGCCGTTCTGAGCTATCGATCCGAAGCCCCTTGCTATTTGATTCAAAAGTTAATAAGGTAATTAGGCCATCATCCCTTATCAAAGAAGCCTACAAGTGTTTCTGAATTTCTAGATACATGTACACACATATACAATAAGGTCACAGTGCTACTTAACATATTATTATTATATTTTTCAGGACTCAGCATTTATCCCATCCCGTACCTGCTGGTTGGTCATACTTTCCATCATGGAAGAGATTTAAATGATAATTTCCTGGTGCACCTCGCATAACGTATGCATGGCAATTTATACGGTCAGCTTAGATAAAGCTGAGCCTCGTCTTCCGGATGAGCAAACCACCCCTAATAGCAGTAACCTGGATTAATTAATAGTTTATCGCCCGGCTCTGGTAATAACTTGAGTATGTCCGATACCACAGAGACGACGTTACATTATTCTCACATAATCTTACGACATGTGATAGATACGAAATTTTCAAGCTCTGCCTAAACGTACACTATCTATATATATATATTTTTATGTACGTATATAGGTATATCAACGATTGTTTAACAATTTGTCCCTAGAAATCAAATCAAACGTTATGTTTACTTTATTCATGTAAAATTTTACACTTGCCTCATCGTATCGATGAATAACAGCCAATTTCTGTTCGCTGATACAAACGAATCACGATGAAGCTTATGTCAGCGATAATTGGTTCGTGTAGGTATAAAAAGCTTTTTCACGAATATTCGCCAATTTCATTATTTTTTGTTTTCTCATCAATTTTTACAGACCTGCTGGAAATTCGTTAAATCTGTCAATATTAAAGGACTATTTTAAAAACTGTTGCCGAACTGATTCAAGACCATTTCTGTTCATTTGCGGATGAACAAATATCGCGTGTGAAGGGATTTTCGAAATATATCTCGTTGCCATAGAAGAGCCGTGAGTTACTTTTTGTATGATTCTCTGCCTGGTACGTGATATCACGAAACCACGGGAATATATAACTGCGCTTCCCATTGACCACAATCGCTGCTGTCTGCCACACCAATTATTCCATAATCAGTCATCCGACACAGCGACGACCCCAGCCGTCTGGTACAAGATCGTTGCAAATTATAAACATAATTGAATATTGCACTTTGCCTCGTACCATAGCACAGGTCCCATGGCATCAGATGTAAATACTGCAGTATAATTATTTTTTGTGCTTTATCCTCGTTCATTCGAAATTGTGTTACAAATCTCGCGGGAGTGCGCTGAACGTAATTTTTTGAAATCAATGCAAAATTTCGACAGCCACCGCCAGGCTTAATATCGTAACGTATTTTTCACGTGGGATTAACTGTAGATATGTGTTATCAGTGATTTAAAAAATTGTTTGACTAAATTCGACCGCAGCGTTTTTCCCACGCTTTGCTTAGTTTTGTATCTACGCGTCCACATACACACGTAGACGCGTATCCGCTTCCGCGTTACACTGTTAAAATCCCTTCTAAAGAGCAGCCGGAAAGCTTTCTGCAGTTAAATTTACAATGCAAATTGAAGGAGAAATAAAAAAAAAAAAGCTCGAGAGCCAGGATAGCACGAATGGGCGACATATGCCGAGTCGTTTATTTATTTATTTATTTCTTCCACCATTTGTCCCGTTAAACCGAGATTTCAGTCGGAAACGCGGCAATACAAAAATCCGCGAAACTACCGGATTTACAAATCGTTATTTTATTGGACAACGCACAAAGTCGATCGGCCGTAGCTTCTTTTTCTATCAACATCGGAAATAGATATTCCTTGAGAAACTTTGAAGTACGCCTTACTGGATTATTTTTGTTATCAAACGAAATTCTCCATTAATATATGTACGTATAAAACTTGAAACCTTAATAAATAAAATTGTGCGTACAAAAGCTGTATTAACAAGTTCTCGTATATCTCCGGTAATATTACACTCGTATTCGTACTCGTACGAAAGATAGTTATTAATTTAGCTGTTTCGCCTGGGTGGAAGGTATTATGTTATTAAATTTTCACTGTTTGAAGCGTTCGTGCAGCGGTACGATTATGTATTGAAATACGAAGTAAATTAAGGGGGGTTTAACATGAAATCGTGTAAAATGAAAGGGGCGCGAATGTAAGCAAAGGGATGGTGGCTGAAGTCCTAGTTTCCAGGTACCTCAGTTGCTCGGTGGTTGGTTGTGGGTAACGAGCGGTGCATATACTGCATATTTAGCCAGGGTACCTGTGCAGAGACATGCAAATGCACAGGATGATGGCCTCTCGCCGGTACGACCCTGACTACAGGAATTACTTCATCTCGCGTTTAATCAGGATTTTCCAAGGTAATATCACAGATTTTGACCTGGCACTGGCGGACTCAGATTATCGAGGAATACACGCCATAGATATACATGGGCTGTACTTGCAGACACCGCAGGTATAAGTGTACAGTGTATGTACTCTGACGTAATAACAATTACAGTATATCAGCCATACCTATAATTTCAATTTATTAGAAATACTTATGTACAGGAATTCGCGAAAGCTCCGTGCATTGTCGGATGGTACATGAGGTGCGCCAGCAGTTACTCAGAGGCTTCCGCGCCTAAGCCGCCATTGAATCTTAGAGGGTCATCTTCTTCGTGGTGAAAAGCGTAGCAGGGAAACCTTTGAAAACCTGAGTAAATCGAGAATGAGAATGAGGATACGAGAGATAAAGAGAAGAGGAGGGTGGGACTCGAGTCCGAATTAAAAATAGAGAATATTAATCTCGACGACGACGAACTTCCGTCGACGAGCTTCGCAAAGTTAGCTGAGTAAGTATTCTTGGCCGAGTGTTTCCCAAGGGACGTTCGGCTAGGTGGTTTTAGCCAGGAAGAAATGTAAGAAGGGCCAGTGCCGGAGCTGCGCGAAGGCTTGGCCGAGGTGTCGTCGAGTTGGCCGAGTCCATTCCCGGGGCTTTGTTGGACGAGATTGGTAGCGACCCCCTGGGAGATGCCGGCTAGATCCCTATTATGTTCAGAAGGGCAAAATGTGCTTCCTGGAACTTTGGTACCAGTGATCCTTTGCCGATAAACCGATCGATCAATGGCAATAATTTTGTATCGAGGGTATTCGATGACACGTAGATCATTCGTTGTTCGTGATTATCAATGTTTATTTTTTTTTGTATTTTTTGTATCCCCTATTCCTTTGCAGCGCTTTACTTTCGTCCCGCACGTAGACCGTTTCTATGAAAAATCGAAACGGGAAGATGCAGCTCGCCTCTTTCCCATCTCGCCGGATGCGAAAGGCAAGATTCATTGGTGTTGTCTCGGCGGTAAAAGAAGGAAGGCGGCAGCCAAAGGGACACCCGGTCGTTCTTCTTCTTAGGCGATTGGGGTGGCGTGGAAAAGGGATAAATCAGGTTTAGAGTTTGCTTACCCAATCTTGTCCCCCAAGATGTAGCCCGGGGTGGGCTTATGCCTGGTACCAAGGAAAAGTGAAAACAAAGTGCCAGCGAACCACTTATCTCGATAGAATCGCGAGCTCTGTACCAACTCCAACCACTTTGGACTTCGCTTCGACTATTCGTACACCTTTCGATATGCCGACCGTGCTTCACGGTGTAGGGGATGTTTTATCGTAACATGGATTTTGCTTCGTCAAGAAAAGTTTTATATGTATTTTTTTCCCTTGCTTAAATACTAATGAAATATTTAATAAATAAATCTCCACGTATACCTGTTGTTCGCTGTAAAATATCAAGTCCAAATTTATGTGATTCTTTTGAATCGTTGCTTATACCGTAGACTGACTTTGTGTCGTATGCCACGTATATGCAGTTATGGGAATTCCCGTTGTTAGTTACCTTATAGCGATCGATACGGAAATGTGCATAGTGATGGCCAGTACGCTTTTGAAAGCTGCGGAAGACGCACGAGGTGCTCTATTCCTGATACTATAATTCGTCGTGTGTGATTCGTACCAAAGTGAAGTCATGTCTGTCGTCGATTTACCCGATGTACTTGGAGTCCTAGGACATTCGCGGTTCAGTATTTTTGTTTACCGAATTTTTGGTCTGGGTGTGATAAGGTATCGTGGTAGATACTTGAGGAAGACTACAATACTTTTGCGCTTTCTGACTCTCTTAAGCGTTTTTGGAGGCTATTGGTATATACTAGAGATAAATACACCAAATGAGTACAAAACATTTTCGAAAAGCCAATATGAGATATTTATCATCGTGAATATGTTTATTACTGTCACGATAAAGTTATGGGAGATTCTGTTTATGGATTACTACACAAAGCAATTCGCTTCGTATATTGAAGACATCGGTGCAATTGACCGGAAGTTTGCTAAATTTAAGATCTACAATAAGAGAAGTCTCATCTATTTGATTGAAATTATCGCAATGATAATGTTCGGTTGCAAATATATTGTGCAGATGGGATTCTTGCTGTTCTGGGAGAAATACTCGTTTATTAACTTCTGTTTTTTTGGGGTCAGATTGTATGCCAGAATATCGATATTTCTATACAATATCGTGTTGATCGATCTGATTTATTGGATTTATCAGAGATTGAAGCTGATCAATGAGATCTGCAGTTCCGTAGATGCCTTGGCGTATTCAATGGATGAACAAAATGATACTATAAGAATGCTTGCCGAACAGCATTACGCAATTTTGAAAATTGCCAAACGTACTACAAAATTATTTCAATTTTCATTCGTCACGAAGTTCATAAGCAATTACACATTTATGATAAGCACCTTAATAATTATCTACAAATGCCTGATTGACGAAGATATTTGTGAGTCTTTGCTGTTTTTCCTTTTTCAATACAGAGGTGCATTTTTCAATGCAATAGGCATCATCGGAATCTGTTACGTCTGCGACCTAGCAGTTACTCAGGTAAATGAATTCTTCAGTCATTTTCATTGGACGGTACATTTTGACTTTGTATTTTAGGCTCACCAGACCAAAATGATTTTGCACAGGACGACATTGAACAAGTCCTACATGTATCTAATTCCGGAATTGAGGATGTTCATGACGTACTTGACAGATGAGATTCTTAGCTTTGAGCCGTATCAATTATTTAACATAGATAAAAGCCTAATGATTGTTGTAAGTCTGATATTATAATTTCGTCTAACTCAATACACGCGTGTTGTCATACATTCCTGTAATTTTAGATACTCGGCAACGGACTGGCTTTCTTCACTATAGCGGTATAATGTTAATAAACCGAGCCACATCGTCGCACTGAAGTATCGGTGTAAATGTGGATTTGCAGTAGAAAAGGTGTTAAGTGAATTTCTATGGAATAATATTTACGAGCACGCACGACATGGAAACCGCACATAACAGTAACCTACGTCACTACCGATTTTACGTGTCACTTGGGAATTAGTCGAGTGCTTCTCTGTACCTATAGAAAAGGTGTCATGATATATGTCATAGTTGAGTCACCATTAAGTAGTGCACGTAGCAGTAACCACCCCTGGTTACATCCCTGGGCTTTAGTCTCCAGTAGGCAGTCAAGCAGGAAAGAATTCGCATCACGTCGTCAGAGATCATTTTCCAATATCTCCTATCAGACTGACCGGTCATTTCGGAGTTTCTCGTTAAATTCCTCTGTGATTCATCATGATCCAGTTAACAAAACGTGGTATCTTCGCGAAAAAGCTGTCGCACGGAGTCCGCGTAGCTTATGCACTGTGCGGATTTGACGTGTGGTACCTGGATGATTCGAAAATTTCGACTGTGGCCTTAGTTATTGCTACGCTGCAACTTGTGCTATCCATCACTTTCCCAATATTTTCTTGGACCGGTGTGGCACTTTATGTAGATACCGCTCGTCAGATGCAACCAATAGACAAAATCTTCAATATCTTCAATTTGTTTTCTTGGATCATATATGGTGTCACTCTCGTTACTTACGCAGTATTCAGATTGAAGCAATTCAAGAACAGGAGAATTTGCGGTAAAGAGTTGCGCAGAATTCATAAGAATTTTGAAAAATTTGGAATCGAAATGGGAAACGTCGGACGTGATTTTTACCTTTTCTTAATATTGTTCCTTGCCTTTGTAACTTCTGGATTGCAAGGAGTCTTTCAATATATATGTGCACATGGCAAGATTTCTATCTGGAAAATCTGCTCGGAAATTTGTATGAGCACGATGAATATATTCATCGATTTTGATTTCATCGGTGGTATCTATCTTCTTTATTTACTGTACAAAACTCTGAACGGACAATGTTACTTACTGAAGGAAATATCTGATTCGATAAGATATCAGATCGCTATTGTCAAATTTATACGAGAACAGCATCAAGAGTTGGCATCGCTCACGCAGAGCATCGTCAACGCATACGAATTTCCGCTGATCTTATCGGTCGTGAGAATTACCTTACTTTCAATAATGAAAATGTATGCCATCTATGTCTTGCCTCCTGTATTGTCTAAAACTGATGTTACCTGGTTGATTTGTGACATAATACTATTCATAACTCTGCAAGCCTTAAGGATTTTTATGATGTGCAGCATTTGCACATTGATGACGTCTGAGGTAAGACTAAAATATATATAAATTTGTTAAAATTGATACAAAATCTTTTAATTGTAAAATTTCATATCTTAGGCAAATCGAACTGACACAATTCTAAGTGAGGTCGAATCAAATAATCCATACTTGTACATGCGGCACGAAAGATCAAACTTGTCATTGTACTTGAGACAGCAAAATGTGAGAATTCGGCCATGGAACATGTTCGAGATAAATAATGGATTGTTCGCCTCGGTAAGAAATCGATTGTCGCCCAACATTTTTTACGATTTAAAAAGTGTCGTCGTTTCGTCTGAATTCCAGGTAATTGGCGCGATACTCGTCTACTTGTTCTACTTTGTGGACAGGTCTGAAGTGAAGCAATAATCAGGCTTCCTACTACTTATCGATAATTCGAAAGCAAATTCAGTCCAGCTGCATATTTACACGGCAGTAAAAATGTTGCACGCACTAGACTTTTTACGAGCCAATACACCATTAACTTGCATCATACGTTCTATGTATCTCTAAATGTATTTTACGGATGGGCCACAAGGAAAATTATTTTTATGCACTCGAAGGGCCACGTATGCAGCCCCGCACCGTAGCTCTCATTACGTGCGGTACTTTGGAAGGTGCAACATCGAAGTGGGCAGCAGTTTTGAAGATAAAAAAAAATCCGGATATCGTTCGCACTGACAATATAACCATGAGAGTTCACGATGCAGCTTCCGTCGAAGCAGCAGAAAGTACCAACGAAGAGAATCGAAAGAATTCCAAATTTCTACGCATCTGCAGCCTCATTTATACCATTCTTGGAATCGGCATCATACGTTGGGGCGATCGGTGCTTTAGAAAAATAACGATAGCGCTACGGCTTATACAAATTTATTACTTCTATAGGATTACATTGCTTGTATTTTGGACACTGGAAAAATTGGCTGATTCGTTAAACAATTCATATTTCACATATCTCGTATACTTGACGTGTGGCATTAACACTTCAACACTGTACCTTCTGTTACTCCAAGGATTCTTTAGAAAAAATAATATTGAGAAACACGCCGATGACATCGAAAAGATTGATAAGAAGTTCCCGGAATTATCTCTTACTCATCAATCTAAAGTGCATTATTGTGTGCACACTTTGGGGCTGGTGACAATTGGCCTGATTTTTATTGCTGTGAAAATAATCAATTTTTTGCGTTTGGATATGAACGGTCTCGGATTTGACTACTTATGGTCAAACAGTTTAATACTCATATCTCTCGTACTATTTTATAATTGTGTGTACGACGTACATCAACGGTTCAAGAGAATCAACGAGTTGTGCACTGACATGGGAAATCAGGAGGCTGTCCCTTTAGACAAAATTCGATTGATCAGAAAATTGAAGATTCTTCATATCGACTTGTCTAAGCATGTGCTTAAAATTGTCCGAGCTCACAGAATTACAGCTTTAATTGTTATAATAAAAAATTTCATAATGTTCACTGTGAATTTGATGGCCTATATCATAAAAAGTTCTCCTGTGCTCTATAACGCGGAGATCGACTTGGTTGTGAACGCCGTGGAATTAATTGCATTCCTACTATTATGCGTAGAGTGCACCAACGCAACAGTTGAGGTAACAGTATACAATTGTTATGTCTATTCTGTGAAATTCTTTTTCAATTAGGCTCTTTAATAAATAGGCAAACAGTACCACCCATTATATATATGGTATGGTCCTGAAGGATCCGACTATGGGACTGCGTATGGAGGTACTGAATTTCGTGTCGTATCTTCGTGTTCAAAAAGTACAATTCAATCCGTACGGACTTGCCAAAATGAACAATCGCCTGATAGTCTTTGTAAGTACAATCTGTCTCTATATGAACTTGTAAACAGTATTAACAAACAATTTATAGATCCTGACTACCTTGATCACTCACATGGCATTTTTTATTGATATTGAGAAATTATAAGATCGTACTGTACTGGCAAACTATTTTACATGGTAAGTATCTTATAATTATATAAAGACAGTGTAAATATAATGTGGTCGAATATTTCATCCTTTACTCTACCGAAATGCAATACTATAAGTGCATTGACAAGTTGCAATATGACGTTCACGTTATCGTATATGACAGTTATTTTCAATTAATATTTTATTACAGTGAAAATATTTATTTACAGATCTCCACTGAAATATAATGACGGATAATGAGATCTTCGAGAAAATGCATATGGGACTTTACGAAATTGCTTTATAATAAACACGTATTGATGCACGAGTTATATGTGGATATAAGGTCATTCGTTCTGGAGGATCAATAATCTTAACGTGATATAATGCATCGGTTGTTCGTCGTCTTAAAATATATCACGTGATAATTAAATCTTCATCGTAGAAGTAATGCATCCATGTTGCAGAAGATCCACCCCACTGTCGTTGCTTCGCCGGAAGACCACGTACCTTACAGTGAAAATGTGTTTTATCGATATTACTAAACTATATCATACGTGTTTAATGTTTTCAGCAATTTTTAGCACGGAGTGATTCTCAGATTGATGCAAAAACATAAAAGCACCATAACGGGGCCTTAATGTAATACATATTCGTTGGACTGAAGGAAATTCTTGAAAAAAAAAAGGTACTGCGAAATGGCAGGAATAAGAAAAAAAAAGAATTTGTCGTTATTGTTGTACTCAATGTAAATTTGAAAGATGTATATTTATGTGTAATGTCAGAATTTCATGTATCTATATGTATCTATGTACTGCAGCGTCATAAAATAAATGATGAGCTGGAGCATGGACGGTAAAAATAAATAAAGAAAAACCGTCGGTATTGCTGAAAAACATAAAATGACTGAGGAAGAAGGAGTCTTCGTAAAAGTTTTTCACAGTTGAAAGGCTCAGTGCAATTCGCACATCCCAAGTTACCTACTCCTTCGACTATCCGAATAGAAGGAGCACACCTTTTTCGCACACCTACTATTTGCATTTTTACTGGGTGTCCGTCTCTCGCGAATTAAAACTTTCGCCAAGTTAGTAATCAGTCCTTATCGATCCCTGCAGCATTCGGTTTTGGAGACGAGTGAATTTTGTAAATTTTCCCAATCAGAGTGACATTCGATAGTTTCTATATAATTCATTATTAGCAATATTTCAGAGAAATATATGTATATATGAGTATGGCTGCGTCCGAACACTAGCTACGTCCATGGGCTTTGTCTGTTCCAGCCACCGAAAGGAAGAACCGGGATTAAAAAGGGAATTCAGGATACTATGAAATTACACCAGCTACTATATAGATATCTATCATTTTTGCAGGTGCTGTTCTTTGACTGCGTTTCAACTGGAAATTTTCCCAAGGTGAAAAAGAATAAGGAATTACAAATTTCAGTTCAATGCAATATACAATAAAATTCTATTTATTGCAGTAAACATTTGCCGGTCTTCTTATAAATGCTAATAAGAAAAGAAAATAATAATAACGATCTTGCTGGGTGCTGTAAGATAGAGAAGGAACCTTATAGGCATCACAAAGAAATTTCCATAATACTCATTAAACTACGTTGATCATAATCAGAATGATTGGGAACGCACGTATAGTAGACGCTTGTAGAACAGCTGTCGAAGTGTCGCGGATTATAATAAATTTTATTAGAAGCTTACGATACAAAGTTCAGCAGAGGGCTCCGAGTCTCAAAGAGAGTAAAACTAAGCGCCCTGGGCGAGTCGTTAAAAACTTTGTCCGGACGAAGTTACGTTGTTAAAGGCTCTACGGTATCTTCTTGGGGTTGTCGTTTCTGGTTTCAGAGGAAGAAGACACGTACAGAGAGACACCGGTGGACGGTATATACTTTTCAGAACGGTAGGCGTTTCAGCTTTCCAACAAGTTCCGTAGCAAGGAAGTGTGTTTTGGTTTGATTCTACATACGCGACCTAATTCTTCAGGGAAATTCAATCGTGCCCCATCGCTTTCGAATTTCTATTGACATCAGTTCGGTTGACCGAGCAGGAGACGCCCAAGCACCGTTGAAACAGAATTCTCGGATCTTAGGTCAGCGATTCCGAATATTCTCGATTGCTTAATTCCTTGGGAAAACATGGCGAGAAACTCAATTGGAATCCATAGATCGTTAACGATCGAATCAAATTAACCTTTGAGAGAAAGAAAAGGACGATGGCTGTTGGGAAAGAGGCTGCGAGAAAAATATTTATTTAAGAGGATGCCGAACTCCTTTACAAATACTGGTTGACGGTGCAGCCTTGTATTGTGAAAACACACATGACTTAGATGATAATTCTTTTGCGCTGTCGCAGACAGTAGAACGATTGTTGTATACTCAGTAGTGCTCAATGGGATATTATGTGGAGAAGAAATAAATTGTTTTTATACAATTCGTCTTAGAGCTTAGGATCTGCGCCAAATATTAAAGACTCCATATTGTGGACCCAGAAGCGAAACAACTAGAACAATTATTCAAAAATCAACAACTATTACGAATAAACGGAGCTTAAATAAAACTGGATTATGAAGCATGAGCATCACTGACCATGGCCCGTGCACGTTGGGACTCGTTGTGACGTCACGGAGTACTACTAGCGTTTGCTGCGGCAACACACTCAAGTTTTGAGGGAGGAAAATTTGTCGGTAGACGGTTCGATTTACTAGCATTTACAAGAAATCTTGTATTTCACTTGACAGTGATAATTGAGAATGATATCATGTATTGGTGATACATTTTTCTCGGTTCAGTTTTCCAGTTATCATTGGCAGTTATGGTGAAATAGTGCGATGAGTGCATGTCGCGAGTAGTGAGGACCGTGATTCGTAGCCATGACAGTTGCATATTATTTTTAAAAATCGGCCTCCGCAAGTATCGAGATTTCAGCGGAAGGCTTCGATTGACTCAGATACATTTAGTGAAGTGACAGTGCTTTGTGGACAGAGATTTTTTGGTACAAAGTTTTCTCGCTTTGACAATCTGACGCACTCATATAAATATAGAAAAAGTTGTTCGGCACCCCCTTCACTGGAGCAATAATGACGTCTACAAAGGATACCTGTGAGTGAGTAATATTTATTTATATATTATGCAGAAAATCAGGTGAACCTGTTTTCTGTATCTCTGTTAGAATAACCCAAGTGTATCTACCGAGTGAGAGAACAATAATCCCAGTCCCTAAGGGGGCATCTTTGTGCCTCATGTTGGTGTATACATTTCATTTGAGTTTCTGCGCTATGAATTTAACATTATGGTGAATTGAATTATACTACGAATATAGTGACGCTGACATACATATCACGAACAAAGATGAAGAAGACCTATAGAAGTATCTTGTCTCTTGGCGATGCTTGATTTCCTTGGGGTCGCAATATTTAAGGAGTCTGTACGAGCTGGAGCATTCGATACTATATTCTCTCTTCTGAGTGAAATTTCGTATGTCGAAAGAATTGCCTGCTTTATATTTCATTCCTAGAATCTATGGCAGAATGTATTAAAGAAAGAGGGGACAGGACAAGTGTAATACGGTTTGAAATAACGAATAACGGAACAGTCCATTCCATATTTTTAAATATTGACACGATGAGTAAAACATATTGCGTTTGTGGGAACGAACGTGAGGCATTGTAAATATTGAGTAAATTAGCATTAATCTGTTAGAGCTCAGGTTTATTTTGTGCAACATTTATTTTACAAATAGGTAAAATCACGAGGTAGAATTTACATAGTGTTTACTCATAGGACAGGCAGACGGGTTAGTTGCAATCTCACTATTTATTTTATAAAATACGTTCCAAATCGTTTTGTCATATTTCCATGAACTTTTATTGTATTAAAGTATACGTGACTATTTATGTCAAATGGTAAAAGTGTGTACTCGTTGGCTGTATATTACACAGATGTAAGGTAAAATCGTTCTACGGGACGCGACAACGATAGCAGCTACTGCGAATTTCTGATGCGGTTCTGGCATTACAGTGACTCGTCGTAAATTTTGAAGCTTGCAATGTCCCCCGAGGCCATAACGTGATTGACATTTTCAAGTTGGAGTGTGAGAACAGACATAGGCATACCGTGGGAGACGTAAACCATCAAACGTGACGGGCAGAGAGAGCACATTGCTGGAACAGTACGTGATCAGCGTAGATAGCCCTCTGATTCTCCGCAAAGCGGACGTGTCGTCATTTCCATTTCGAGAAATTTATGGGATAAGTTTTATTCGCACGTGTCTCCACTAATTACATGAACTATGGCGTCGCGGATAACAGCGCGAAGCCATAACGTCGAGAGGGTCTGAAATGAGCTGACGGAGAAGGGTCAGACACGTGTTACGTCATACGCGCGGGATACACTAAAAGTATATTCTACCAAGGGTGAAGATAAGACGCTTTTCTTGTTTAGACATTCGGACGGGACCCGGAAGTATATAATCAAATAGCAAAGTAATCAAGCCTTAATCCATGACACTAGTGAATTAATCAGAAGGCGCGTTCTACTGTTTTACCCCCTGCTTCTGCGTCGTTGCAATTTTTCAAGCGTCTAACCTCTTCTCAGCTGCTGGTACCCCTTCTCGCCGACGACTGGGTGGGTGCAAATTTGCGAAAGTTAGTCATAGAAAATTTCATTAAGGAATTCGTTGAATGCTATGCAATTACAGTGCCTTGGTCAGCACTGCAGATATATATATATATATATATTTCGCTAACTAATTATTCTCAATTCTAAATCTCTCACCTGCTCTTCTCTCTCTGCTGGCAGAAACGAGATTACCCGAAACCCCATCGGGAAACGTAATAACTACATATCGTATTCTGGCGTTTGCGAAAATCCTACATAAATATGGATGGCCTTCGTATACGTAATGTCTACTGCGGTTAACCATAGTCGTACGTACCTACTCGTGCGTGTACTACGTGCATATACGAAATATTTAAAATGAGAATATATTTCAGAGGGCTAAAAATACTAAAAAATTGTTCAAGACGTAATACTATAGGCTTCTGTAATGGATATCTGTGAAGCAATCAGCTTTATATCTGTTAGTGGGAATTGCGGAAGTTTATCATACGGGCTAAACAATGGCGAGCTTTATTGTGATCGCTGAACATATGACGTCACGTCCAGGGCTGGTTTATCAAGGGCGATTGACCCGGGCTACTACCGCCATAGCCATCCCATGCAATCATCAACACTAGCTGCTACTCCTACCCTCCGAATGCTACACTCGTAACGGCTGCTGCGCAATTCCCTCGTGAGTCCTGCACCATATTCACCCTTAAGGGGTGGGTTTCCCAATGTATCGCCATACCTTATTCGCATCTAATCTCATGAAATATACGGCCTCTCGGTTTACACGCACGGGTCTCGTTATCTGTATAATCAATAAAAAATTGCATTATTATCTACTTAATAAATATTCAAATTATTTCTCATGATTATTAGTGAAAATTGAATCGCAAATAATAATAATTGACAGTTAAAATTTGTATGACGTACACTAAACCGTGTAAGGGTTTGAGGTCTTTAGGGACGTTTTGAAACCCCCGACTAATGGATGGGTGCATTTTCGATGCTGCCGTAACGTACATCTGTCG